CCCCAAAACCCCAAAACCCCAAAACCCCATCTGAAAAATGTTTGAAATTAAAATTTAAGCAATTAAAATTATTTACATTTACTGTCCAAGTTGTGGATAAACTTAATATTATTTGATAATGAATTTTCAAAAACTGTTAATGATTGCAAAAATATCAGCTAGAAACTAACTTATCATTAGAAGATTCCAAATCACTAATTTTAAAAGGTTCTGAGGTGATGGTTATTGTCCAATTAGAAAGCCAAGTACATATCATTTTCAACATTATCGTCATTTTTATCAAATTCTGGGTCAATTAGTTTGCATTAGAATAGGTAATTGCAAGATCTAAATACCATTTAATCATATATTCTGAACTGATCATCTACGTAAACCCATGTCCCATTAGTACTCTTTTTATTACCACCTTAACCATCATATAGCACCCAGTTCTATGAAGCATCATTCTTATACTTCACCCTAGTTTAAAATCAACAAATAGTTTTATATACAAGCATTAGTAGCGAGAGAGACCATTGTCCGTAACTTTTATGTCACAATCACTCATTCTGCCAATTTTTATTTCCTTGATGTTGGGTAAAAAAGTGCTAGAAATATTATGATTAGAGAATAAATACAATGATTCCTATGCTCTTGGCCCATCAAGAAATTTTAAGCACAACTTGTTCTTTGTATAGGATTAGCCATTGAGGTCTATTGTTGTCTTTTAAATTTGTACAACTAAGTGTGAATCTCCAAATGATATTAGAAATCCATTGGATAATATCTACATAATAATTGTAAATGAAAGGATTTACTAAAGGTCTGTCTACTCTGACAAAGGTCCCTGACCCCTCGCCAGCATCTTTTAAATAGTATCCCTTTGTATCCATTTTGTATCGCACAACAAACTACCTGCGATTTTAAGTAAGCATTTAATTGCTGTTCCCCTAGTTAAAATTGCCTTAAGTGCTTTAGTTGCCATTCAGTGAAGCATTTACACCATTACCACCACCATTTTTATTGGCAAAGTTTTCTCCCAATATTACATCATTGTAAACTTCTTTTTTATTTTAGTTTCCAAATATTCCTCCTAGTGTGTTGGTAAAGCTACTATTTTATTCTTGCTTTCCCCCGTTTCCATCACTTCCGAAGAACACATACCCATCTTATTTATTTCTTTTAGAGTTAATTAGACCCTAAGCATTTATCTTGAATTGCTAACCCTTTTTTAGATAGTACTTGTAAGCAGGAGTATTTTACTAAGCAGGAGAGTCTATCACTTCGAGTATCAGAGTTGGTGCTACTTTTATTTCTTCTTTTGGAATTATCAATGGAATTTCTGCCAATAAATTCATTATCTAAACAGATTTAGCAATTATTACAAGAAATTTAAAGATTATTAAAGAAACAAATCTGATTTGATTTATATTAATTATTTTCCAGTTAACTTACATCATCTGAGTGGAACTACTGTTCTGTTTGATTAGTATTCATGTGTGATTGATTAGTTAGAGAATTTATGTTGATAGAGTTATTAAGACTGAGTGAATAGATATAAGTGTTCCTAGTCTAGAAAATATTGGTCTGATGAGTCACAAACTACTATAGCAATATTATTGTAAGCATAGCTGTTTCAATCGTATAATCAACTTACAGTTCTCTGTGGAACTAACTACATCTCTCCCTAACCATTTAAATCTGTTTGCGTGTGAGAATTCATGCAGCAACCCTAAATAGAGTGAGAATCGAGGATAATTATTATCTTTTTAAAATACCATTTCTTTAAGAATATTTGATGCTGTTTATATTTTATTAATAAGATTTAATTCAATCGGACTTTAAATATTTTCATCTCATGGGGTTTTGGGGTTTTGGGGTTTTGGGGTTTTGGGG